CTTAAAATCTTATAAAAGTAATGTTGAAAACTATCTTTACAGATTACAACTGGAAAAAATAAAATACTATTAAATGAAAAAAATAAAAGTAAAAAAATAAAGTTCTCTAGGTCAGATATGCCTTCAGAGGTAACTTTATTCAATGATGTACATCAAACAAGGCATAAAACAGGGAAAAATATACTATGAGCATGAAGCAAGTTCTGTGTGGAGTTCAGATAGAAGGATTCCTTATCATTTGTCAGAATCTCCAAATGTTTCTACTTATTGATGACACTGTAGTAATTTTGTCAAGAACTACAAATAAAATCCACGTTCAGTTGGAATAATTCTATATTCATTAGAAAAATAAAGTGAATGAAAATTATATATTACCCAGATTACTTGAAACTGAATGAATAGTCCAATGAATAGGTCATTGTATAAATATCTTGGGTATGGACTATGAGCAGGATCCAAAATTAAATAAGAGGAAGCAACCAACCTGGACACATCTAGGAAATTGCAAAGGATTTTCAATGATCCCAAACTGCTCACCGTAATAAAAAAAAAAGCCTTCTTTTTTACATCAATAGAATTCAAATGCTACAGTGTGCTAGCTACTTTGTAAAGTCCAAAGCTCCAAAATAAATATATTATTCTCATGGATATGCTTTTTGGGAGTCCAGACCTGCATTTCATAGATTTAGGGAATGCCTAGATTTCCTTTGTTAAAGGAAGTACTCTCAACCAATGCATATCCATACCTGCTCTGCCAAATATTGTCTTAGAGTCTTAGTTACCCCAGGCTCTGAGGGTATAAGTGACTTGTCAAGGATCATACAACCCAGTATGTATCAAACGTGATACCTGAACCCATCTTCTTGACTCCAAGATTAGCTCTCTCTTACCTACACCACTACGTTGCCTCTCCAGGTGTGCATGTAACATCTATTAATACTAAAGTCCCACTCTGATACTTCACTGTATTTTAAAATGACTTTGACTATCACATCATTCAAGAGACCAGTCACTGCACAAAATATTCCTTCCTTCAACTAGGGGAAAATTACTGGGAATATTTATTTCCTTCATGCAACCTTTCACTAGTAGAAAATTAGGTAACGGACATGGGCACATCTGACGAATCTCTTAGTCACTATTTAACCCTCGCCAACCACTCAAACTGCCAGACCTCAAATTTGGAGGGTGATAATGATGAAACATGTAATCTCTGGATTATGATTAGATCATATTATGAAACAACACTTTGGATCTCTAAGAAAGAAGCCACAAAAAAAGAGGGGGATAACTACGCCCTACTAGCTAATTGCTTACTATTAAAAATGCATTTCATTTGATAAAGCAAATCCTCCAAAAAGGCATCTCCTGTGTGTGCATCAAAATCATATGAGATTCCTTGAAAGATCAAACAGCAGGGGTAACTTTGTTCCACCTCTCTGTGATTAATGATATCTACTGCATATTCTCCAGAGGTATTTACTACTGTCATAGACAATGTCCAACAGAATCAAAATTCCTCTTATAGACAGTGAGACTCTTCAGAGGCTCCTTTTTGCAGATGACACTGTGCTGATTGCAGCAAGACCCAGGACACTGTAATCTCTTAAACAAGATACACACTGACACCGTAAAGGCTGCTTCGATGGAGGGAGTTTCCTAGCTAGGATTTCCCTACATGGATAAAAATATAGGTCTAGATAAAAATAAATAAAGCTACTCAAAAGAATTTGCTCTATCCAATAAGTCAATCAAAAAGCAATTATTAAGAGCTACTCTGTGTGAGGCACTGTGCCTCTGGGGAAGCAAAGACAAAAATGAAAGGAGCTTCCATTCTGTCAGAAGAAACATGTAAATATAAGTAAAATGCAGAAAACAGATACAATATAAATACAACATAAATTTGGGTAGGGAGAGACATTAGCAACCTAAGGTGAGAGAAACCAAAAAAGGCTTCATGAAGGTAGCACTTGAACAGAATCTTGGAGGAAACAAGGGATTCTAAGAGATTCTCTACACAGGAAAAGCCAAGTGAATGAAGAATATTTTTTTATCCAAACTATGATAACCTGTTGGATGTACAACCTACAGAGCTAATCCATTAGTACACATAATTTGGGCAAACATTAAGAAGGACAATGAGCCAGGCCCGGAAATGAAGAGGAACTTTGGAAAATTGCAGGGTGCTTTTTAATGACCCACTGCCTCTCTTGAAAGTAGACGCCCATCTATTTCACATTTATATTCTTCCAGTGATGCCTCAGGACTACGATTCATGAATACCACAGACTCTAAACAACTCAAGTTGTGGGTGACCCAAAGGACAGTGGAGAGGTGGACGACAGGAGACAGCAGACTGCAACAGTGAAGAACTGCTCAAGGAAGGCAGCATCAGACGGGTGTTAGATAGGAAAAAAGGAGCTAGGTCAGTCATGGAGTGAGAGTAAAGGATAACCCATGGATAGCACGTGTGCTCCACTGCTAACCACACGATGTCACGAGATCGAGAAGTATCTTTCGAATTCTTTGGGTTAGATTAATGTAGGACATGGATAAGGGTAAGAAGGTATGGATAGAGGACAATCTGTACTATTGGAGGAAGCATGTCCAAGCATGAGAGCCGAGTATAACTAGATTGATAACAGCAAACCTCAACAAATTTACTTTCTCAGGTACTTGCAAATTTCAAAGGGACATTTTATTGTGCTCAATCTATTAAAACAATCCAATTCCTCTACCAAAATAAAGTATGGTATAATGCAGTCAGGTCAAACTCAAATGGAAATAAGAGTCACTAAACTGTAAATAAGGATCCATGAGGGCTGCACGTTGACTTAGAAAACAACATTATTAGAAGCAGTTAGGTGGAGCAGTGGATAGAGCACTGGCCCTGGAGTCAGGAGGACCTGAGTTCAAATCCAGCCTCACACACATGACACTCACTAGCTGTGTGACCCTGGGCAAGTCACTTAACCCCATTGCCTAGCCAAAAGGAAAAAAAAAGAAAACAACATATTAATATAATCTATGTTCCATTGTATTTTTATTTATTTTGTTAATTGGCCATACACAGGAGTGTCTGGGCAGCTGGTGTGCTGGGCCTGGAGTCAGGAAGACTCATCTTCTTGAGTTCAAATCTGGCTGCAGACATTTATTAGTTGTGTGATCCTGGCTGGGCAAATCACTTAACCCTGTTTGCCTGTTTCCTCATCTGTAAAATGAGCTGGAGAAGGAAATGGCAAATTACTCCAGTATCTTGGTCAAGAAAACCTCAAATGAGGCCTCAAAGAGTCAGACTGAAATGACTGAACAACAACGGTAGGAGTGTCTGTTAGCAGCCAGTTTGACACATTGGGCTTAGTGGACTGAATGCTAGATTTGGAGTCAGGAAGAGCCAGGTTCAAAATCCTACCTCAGTCACTTTACTAGCTGTGTGGAAAGAAAAAAAAAAATCTGTGCTTCAGTTTCCTCATCTGTAAAATGATCCTTCAATCTGTAAAATAATAGCACCTACTTCACAAGGTTATTGTGAGGACCAAATGAAATAACACATGTATAAACGCTAGTTATTAGTATTATTGTTGTAAACCTTGAAGTCCTATACAAATGCTGTTATTATTTTTAAGATCCTAGGCCTCTCAGATTGAGTACAGCCACTTTTGAACAGAAAGAATCACATGTTATCTCTTGTATGTCCCCTTGAAAACAATCCCATTCCCTACTGGCTTCTTTTATGCTCAGAGAGCCTGGGATCAAGTATCTCACACCAGCTATAGACTCCCTACCTCTTGGTATCTATAAAAATGGATGGGCATGCAGCTAAAAGAAACAGGCTTTAACTCAATGACACGTAATCACTTGAACAGTTTAAATAGTTTATGCTCTGTGCTGGCTCTTCATGCTCTGCCAATTTCAGACAGCCTACGTTTATTTCCACAACACAAGCATCTCACATTTATTGGAAGCTTTTCCAAAGGGTGAAAGCAGAGAACCACGTGCAGAGCTATGGATTACGGCCCCATGTAACAGGTTCTCCATTAGTGTGACTGGTCAGGACGGCACACTCAGCCTTTGACCTGCCAAGCAACCACAGGAACTATTGCTACAATGGAGACTGGGCCCACGCAGAAGAACCAATAAGCCATAGGCTAAAATTTTATTTTTAATAGGACATAGCAATGTCAAGAATTCTTTTATTTAACTTAGACTTCAAAGCTGTTTCCTATAGGAGGCAATGCGGTGCAGCAGAGGGCATAGGGAACTTTTTGCTGAATTTAGGATAATGGCTTTGACTTCAAATATCAACTCTACTACTTACTGTGAGACCTTGGGCAAGTCTCTGGGACTCACTTTCCTCATCTATAAAATGAAAGGGTTAGACCAGAGGATTCTAATGTCCCTCCCAGGCCTAGATTCGTGATCCTATGATCCCACCTAAAAACTTTAATTGGGTCCACAGAAAGATGATGTCAGGAAGAGCAACAGAGTTAAGTTTAGGAAAATCTAAGCCATCCTTCACTTCATTTTCCCCACTACAACATTACTCAACTGAGGCACTGCCAATCACAAAGTAAGCACAACTAAAGGTAATAGCATCCTTGGGACATCTTCTAAACCCTCAAATCCTTTCCAGTAGTGGAAACATCGCTCTGAGGAGCGGTTATGGCATGGAAAGGAAGAGAACCAAGGTCCACAGAGAATCCCTCTAAACCTCCAGCCATTGCTCCTCAGAAAAAAAAAAACTGGGGGATCTTCACCCAGGCTTGGAACAATTCACTTCTTCATGTATCATGGGAAGATGGAACTCAGCCATTGTTCATCAAATCAGCAGCCAGGGCCTAGAGAGCCAGTTCACACATTTCCTTCCTATCTTTTCTTCCACATCTTCACTGAAGGTGAAAGAGTCCCGCTGCCTCATTCCTCACCATTCAATCCCACCCCCACCCCCACCGCCACCCCCAGGCTCTGCAAGCCCACCCCAAGAAAAGCTGGTGACTTACCCAATGCATGGGTTGGTTTGGTATCTTGGTGCAGTATAGGAAAAGGGGGAGATGTTTTTGTCAACAAAGGATCCAAAACCCAAACGGAAGTTGCTGGTGAGTTTCCTCATCTCCTCAGCCAGCTTGGTGCCCAGATTCCGGATTGTGTCCAAGTCATCCTTCATGGACAGAGAGAGGTCCATCAAATAGTACAGGTCCACAGGGTAATCCTCCACCTGTCGCACCTGGACTCGGAAGGGGGTCTTAACACCTGTGCCACAAGAAAAACATAGAGCCTCAAAGGGAGAAGATAACTAGAAGAAAAAAAAATCATTTCCATTAAACTTGATTTACCCCAGATTTTCCTCAGTGAGTATATGTATCAAGTCAAAGTATTTGTGAAAAATACCACTAGATGGCAGAAAATAGAATAAGGTGTTGAGAAAGTAGTAGGAAGCACTTCTAGACAGAGGAGTCAGAGTGCCAAGAGTTCCACAAAACATGAATTCTAGTTTAGTGTCTAATTGTTGTTGTTGTTCAGTCATGCCTGACTCTTCATGACCCCATGTGGGGTTTTCTTGGCAAAGACACTGGGTGGTTTGCCATTTCCTTCTCCAGCTCAGTTTACAGATGAGGAAACTGTGGCAGACAGGATTAAGTGACTTACCCAGGATCACACAGCTAGTAGGTGTCTAAGGTCAGATTTGAACTCATGAAGATGAGTCTTCCTGATTCCAGGTCCAGCACTCTATCTACTGTTCGACCTAGCTGTAGTGTCTGGACTACCTACTTAATGTGACCTCTAGATCTCAACTTTCCCATCTGTAAAATGAAGAGGTTGGACTTAATGATGTCTGGATTCCCTTCAAGCTCTAATAATCTATAACTTCCCCCTAACATCCAGTCAAGTAATCCACGTTAGTTGATTAATTCTGAGCCAGCATCACATTGGTCCTTAGACCTCAAGCCCCTACAGAGCTCCAGATTTTCTCCACAGCATGAGGGAAACAGTGTAATTCGCATAGAGTGAGGAGGGCAGACATCCCAGGAATAGCCAGGATGGTGATATAGAGCAATCCTAATCTCCCAGTTCACAAGTTATTTCCAAACAAATGCTTTTCCATTCCATACCTGTAGAGTCCAGCTCTAGGTGGGACTGGATAATCAGAATAAATGAGGTATATTTAATTTGATTAATAGTTAGTAAACACTTAAGAGCTCCTAGGCACTTCTCTAGGAACCTGGTGGACAAAGATAAAAAGTGGCAGTTCTCATTCTAAAGAAGTTTACAATCAGAAGCCAACATATGACTTTAACCCTTTCAACAAGTCGACCAGATAACCCTGAATCTGAGACTGTCCTTTGGACTCCAAAAAGGAAAACATAGCCAGCTTTAGCACCTGCTGGCCAAAGGCCAGACGGAAAGGATATTAGCCAAAGAGAAAAAAAGAGAACAGAGAGAAACTGGCTGCATTTCATTTTATGACCTTTGCCTCAGAGTTCCAAATCAGGACAACCTATGGCCCGGAAAATTAACACAAAACCTTTTTATGGCTCTAGAAAGCAATCATTTGGGATTGAGAACTCTGCAGTTTTCTACTCATGCTGATAGCAAAAGGCTCCTCCACCCAGATTTTAAATGAGGTTTTCCTTAGATGTCCAAGGACAAAATGACCATAGAAGGTTCAATACTACATGTAGCCACTGTTCCTTTCCCCTCCAGTGGGCAACCACAGCTTTCCTCTCTTTCCTTCCAGAACAAACAAGGAATTGTTGACTCTCTCTGGCTACCAGGCAGCTCTCTAATGTTTCTTGGAGAAGTGCTAAGACCCTTTGTCCCTTTGGTAGGATAGAAGGTGGTAGTTCTAAGAAGACTCATGTGCAGCTGCCTTCATGTGTATTATAAAATAATAATAATGATAACAGCATGTGGTTTGGAGTCAGAAAGTACCTTAAAGATCATTTAGTCCAATCATTTCAGTTTACGGACTAGAAAACTGAGTCCTAAGAGAAGGGGCAAGGCCAAGTGTTCCACAGCACCTGCTTCAGTGGCCTGCACGGTCATTGGAACAAATTGTTTTCATTTGCCCATTCTGCCAAGGGAAATCTTCACATGGTTGGGTGGACACCACCCTAACTCACCCATGGGTTTGAGGCCCGCTGGTCACCTTCAGTCTGGTTTAACCCATCTACCCAATATGGTTTACACTACAGGGTGTGGACACTTCCCATGCTACTGTTTCTTGGAGCCACAAGAAGAACCCGGTGAAAGGTGGACACTAAAGGTGAATGAGCAGCCCTGAAAAAGGCTCAGCAGCCCTCCCACCAGAGGTACTATTGCCTCAAGATATGGGAAATGATTTGCCCAAGGTCATACAAGTTGTAAGGAGCAGAACTGAATCCAAACTTGGGTCCTCTGACTCTAAATAATAAAAGCTGACACATATATCATTTTATATATGTTATCCCACTTGAGATCTGTATTACAGCACTGGACTAAAAGGCAGGAAAATGTGGGTTCAAATTCTGCCCCAGTCATTTAGTCAGTCAGTCAATAAACATTTATTCACTATCTCTGTGACTCTAAGCAAGTCACTACCTCCATGGGCCTCAGTTTCCTCATCTGTGAAATGGGAATAATAAAAGTACCTACCTCCCAGCATTATTAGATAACATGTATAAAACACTTTGTAAATAAAGTGCAACTTCTACGCTATTATTATTCCCTTTTTACAAATGAGAAAGTTAAGGCTTAGAGATTAAATAATTTGCCTGTGGTCATACCCATCTATTGTGTCCCAGGGGTGGTATTTTAATGCAATTCTTCTTGCCTCTAAAACCTACATTTTATCTCTTTCTAATCTACCATGTTTTTACTCAGCAAACTCAAAGCTATTTTTTTTAAAGCATCAAGATTCTGACTAGAATAGAAGAATGTCAGTGTTTTTATTGCTGATAAGATCATGAATCTTAAAGTCTACACATGATTCCCCACAGGAAGTCATAGTACCATTCCCAGCCTATATATAGTACAACATCACATCTGGGAAGAGGCATTCTCTTCTATTTCCACCTAGATAATGAACCTGTGCCAAGGAGAGTCTGAAAGGCTAAAGCTACACTTATTAGTTGAAGGAACCTGAGCAAATCACTGAATTTCTCTTCCCCTCAATTTCCTTATATGTAAAATGGGTAAAAACCCTATGTCACAGGGTTTTTGAGAGAATAAAGTGAGAAAATATTTCTATAAAGTGCTTTGTAAACATTACAGCCCTCTATAAATGTTAATAGCTATTAATATTATTATAAATAGGGCAGCTAGGTGGTGCAGTGGATAGGCACCAGCCCTGGAGTCCAAGAGCACCCAAATTCAAATCTAGTCTCAGATTCTTACTAGCTATGTGACCCTGGACAAATCACTTCACCCTGTTTGCCTTCATTCGTAAAATGAGCTGGAGAAGGAAATGGTAAACCACTCCAGTATCTTTGCCAAGAAAACTCGAAGTGGGGTCACAGAGTCAGATATGACTGAACAATTCAACAACAATAACATTATAAATACTTGCCCCTGCATTTACTTCTCCACCCACCAGGTCTGGTCAAGAATACTGTCAACCAGGACAAGACTGCTAAGTCAACTTCTATCTGGTTCCCAGGTTAAGGTCAGGAAGTCTAAGAACAGTAATTTAGCCATTCATTTTTCAATCTCAGTTCCATTCAAAGGAAGTAGAAATACTAATTTATTTCCTGAAGACAGACACCAGAGATTCTTGTTCTAAACACGACACTGAAGTTACATGCAGAATGCTGCCAGCCTTGCCTCTTAAACCTATCACTTAAAAATAAGATGCTTTCCCAGAAAAGCAATAAGATTTCATAACACAAAGACGTCCCACCTCCAAATGGCATTTCTTAGATCAGAAAAAGAGTAGTGAATTGCTTATCTCTTAAATAATACTGAAAATGTTTGATTTTAGGAGTATTACAATTCTTTTCATGACTAGCTCTGGGGAATTTTTACTAAAGCAGTTGGCATAAAAAGCAGTTTGCAAAAGTTATCCATCTTTAAGGGCAACCAAAGTTTCCACCAACACTCAGCAGCCACAGAGAAGGGTCATTGTACTGAAGTTTCAGTTTACATCTATGCCAGCATCTATCTAGCTTTAGATTTATGTCAGATTATGAAAGATTTTTTTTCTTTAAAATAATAGAAAATTGCTTCATACAGCTTGGGGAAGGGGGGGATGGAAATAGTCTTTAATTCTCCTGATTTTGACATAAAGACATAATTATGTGAGTATAATTTCTCCCTGCTTCCACTGGGTAGAGAGAAAAAACATGTGGTGTCATTGAATAGGAGAAATAAGTAGCAGATAAAGAGACAAGAATGAACTTTAGCTGTCTCTTTAATTAGGGGCAGCAAGACAGCACAGTGGATAGGACACTGGACTTGGAATCAGGAAGAAGTCTATGAGTTCAAATCTGGCCTCAGATACTTACTAGCTGTGTGACCCTGGGCAAGTCACTTCACCCTGTTTGTCTCAGTTTCCTCATCTGTAAAATGAGGAGGAGAAGGAAATGGCAAACCACTTCAGTATTTTTGCCAAGAAAATTCCAAAAAAGGTCATGAAGAGTTGCACATGACTGAAAAATGACTGAACAACAGCCTCAACAGATGCATAGATTATCCAAAAGTAAGGCAGAGAAAGCAACTGGTAGCTGTAATAAGCTGAGAGGGCTTTTACACCAAGTTGGTCTAAAGTTCAAGAGGTACAGGCTAGCCTTGAAGAAATATTACTCTAGGACAAGGACCAGGTTTATTTAGAAGGAAACTTGCTAGCTAGGTTTAGAGATAACACCAGGATTAGTTCTGAACCATAGGTCTGAAAACAACTAAGCAATATTGAAAAAGGTAGCAAATTATGTCTTAAATATTGTTTCTTTAACAGTTTACTCTTTAAGTATACTCTATAAATCTAATTTGAGAATTTTTTTTAATTTAATCTATTTTTAGAAAAATTTATCTTTTTGGTTAAAAAACAGAATGAGCAGGAAAGCACAACCATCTTTCTCCATTACCCATAATGCCTATAGATCAGATGACACAATCACAATAACTACGTTGTCACAAAGTGACAGCATATCTTCACTGGAAGTTTTGATGGGTGAATTAACCACACTCATGACATCTTAATATGCAGACTTAAATGTATAAAACATCAACATGACCATTCCATGCCATAATCTAAGAAACGACACACAATGATTAGA